GCCCAGAGCGCCCCGCAGCCCCCCACGGCTGGTGCTGTGCGCGCTCCAGCGTGTGCTGCAGCCCCCAGAGCAGAAGCAGTGATGATGGGGAAGGAGGTTTCTCCCTTCGGTGGGTGTCACTGTTTCTCATGGCTTGGGCTGCAGCAGCGGCCAGCGCGGTGCCTGTGCCACCGGGCCATGCAGAGCATGCAGTGGTCTGGCTGGGCTGGAAAGTGAGAAACCTCCTTGCGCCGCAGCCTCGTGTTTCTGCTGACGCAGCTGGATTTGCTGCCTGGGGAGGCACGAATGGGCCTGACAGGGAAACACACCAAAAGTTCAAGTTTCACCTCAAGCCCCTCTCCTGTTGCTGCGGGATAGCTTGCAGGAGTCACTGAGCCTCAAGTAGGAAAAATACAGCTTTCTCTCCACTGGAGTCCCTGCTTCCCACCGCGGTTTCCCAATAATAGTCCTTTGACAAGATGCCAGCATAGGCAGATGAATGCAAAAACCATTCCTCTCCATTTTCCACTGAATGGTTTAATTTTTGCTTCCTGCCTGATTATTTCCTCCTCCTGAACTGAGCCTTCATCCTGCAAAGGGGTCAAGCGATTTTGGTTAGTGGGGACAAGGACTCGTAGATGGCGTGAGGGGCAGCGGGCTGTGTGATAGCAGTGCTTTTTCTCCCCGATTTCCAAAAAATATGTATTTTGGAGGCTACTCGGACTGCCTGATTTTAACATAATCCCAGGATGCCACATCCTGCGGCTTTCAATTTATGGCCTGTCACCCCTTTGTTTAACTCAGTCTCTCCTCAAAATAGATGTGTTTAAATTGCTCCGGGAAAGGCTCTGATCCAGAATTTGCTTTTGTCACCCACTGTGACTACAAGACCCAGAAATGTCAAGACTAATCTCAGTTCACGTTCCTTTTCAATACTGGGATTTTAGCTGTCATGGGACGGAGGGGCGTCTTGTTCCTCACCGGGGCACCCACAGAGCCTTGTCCTTGGGTGGGACTCACATTTTCCCCAGCTGAAGCCACTTATCAGCCCTAATTAACTGAGTGCCATCAGCTGGGTGTGTGTGGTCCTGGGGGCTGCACTTTTCCCTACTTACAAATGGACAGTGAGGTGGGTTTGTTTTTTCTCTTAAAATTTTTTTTCTGGATTTAGATATTTTTTGCATTAAGTTTCTGTGCAGTTTCAGCTGCCTTGAAACCATGACTGTGATGCTCATGCTGGTCTGGGGTTTTTTTTATTTGTTTTTTTTTCTTAAGTTTCTGATTTTTTTTTTCCCTAGGTGGAACCCTAGTACATCTCTAGTGGAGCAGCTGTGTGTGGCGGGAAACCTAAAAAGCAACTGTCCTGGGTTCTCTGCAGTGACTCTTTGTGGCAGGGTTATGAGAAGGTGGACAGCTGCTTATGGAGCTAAAATAATGGTCATTGAGTTGAGCAATGGCAAAACTTGGCTTTGTGAATCGTCTGCTCACAAGGTCCTGTGAGCTGAAATAAGGATGGATGTGGGACTGTTAGCCTGGAGGCTTCCAGGGAGGAGGAAGCGCAGCACTAGGTAGCAGAGCAGGATCCAGCCCTTGTCATCTGAAAACACCAGTGCCAGGGGATAACGCTGCCCGTGGGAAAAGTACCACTCACCAGTGAAACGCCTCGTTGTCTGGGTGGCACGTGCAGCAGTCCAGAAGCCAAGGAGGAAGCTGATGGTGGAGGCCAAGGCTGCTCTCTTCCCTTCCCAAGGGGAAACAGGCTTGACTTGACTGGAGAGACACAACACTGAATGCACCAGAGCTGTGCACCAGCACCATGGGCTCTCAGAACAGGTAAATGGGGTGGTTTCACTTGCTTCTCTCTTTAATTTTTTTTTACTTTTTTTTTTTTCTTTTTTTCTCTTGGGGATGGGAAAAAAAATGTTGATAAAGTGTAAAAAGACTCCCAGGGTTGAAAGTGTGGGCTGGCTGCCTCTTCTGAACAGGGCAGTCTGCTCCTGGCTCTCCCCCCTGTTGCTGAACCTGGTACTCTGGGGGGGGAGCAGAGCAGAGTTGCAGTGGGATGGGTCTGAGCCTTTTCAGTCCTTTTCTGTTGCATCCAAGTTGTGTTTGTGCAGTCCCTGTAATGATAAGCTCCTCGTGGTTAACTCCTGGATGAACTTGGTGTAAAAAGACTCATAGTGGGTTTTGACAAAATAGAAGAAAGTATGGCCTTGGGATTGTTTTTCTAGTTTCATGTAGCATACGAGGCAGGTGGGGGTTGCGTGCTCTATGCTTGAGCTAAGCAGCTCTGCCAGGTACGGCTACCTGCTTTAATTCCTGTGTTAACAACTCCTGCAGTTTCTGGCATGGTATTTGGAAATATTTTAGTAACTCTGCAGAAACCAGCTGTGCCTCAGGTGTTTGTGGCTCAGACTTTATCTATTTGCCAACAAATGGTAACACTTGGAAAACAGTGTCTGAGATGGGTAACGTGGCCCACCTACTTCAACTTCATTGCAACCCACAGAGCATGTCCTGATACCAGGAGGTTTTGTGTGTAGATGCTCTATGTGATTTGGGACAGAGAAGGATGTTACAAGCTCACTAAAACTGGCAAGTGGTTCAGTTGTGTGTGTTGCAATATGTGTGGTGTTATTACAAGTGCTTAGCTCTGAGCTATGTTCCTATCATCGCTGTTCAACAAACCTGTTATCACAGGTTAGCTGTAGTTCAACATACAATTGTCTAATTACTGTATTTAATTATATTCTAATGGAAAATATCTCAACTCTGAGCTTCTAGAGCATCGTATAGACAACTTGAACTTCTTACGGTAGAATAGAGGGGAGGGTTTGGCAATTAATTTCAACAGGATTTGGCAGACCTTAAATATATGCTTGATTGCGACTGAAAAGCAGATAACGGTGTTGGGCGTTACAGCTTGTCTGGGAGGTGTGGGATCAGTCTGTTTTCTAGCCTCACCTAGGACTTTTTGGCAAATTCCTTGTTGCTTTGCGATGCTTGTGATGCTTGCGATTGTTCCTGCAGCGTGTTACAGCTCGGAGTTTGGGCAGGGCAATGGAAAGAGACTTTTCTCCAAAAAGGAGATTACTGAGGAAGGTTTCTGGGCTAAAACTCTGTTGTCATGTGTCTGGGCTAGGCTTGGGAGGTATAAAGAGAAGGTTTTTAAGCAAAAAAAAAAAAAAGTTATCTTTGAGTACAGGGCTTTGGGGATTAAGTGGTTAATACTTCTACATAACAGTGTGCTGTGGTTCACTGGAATCTACGGCTGCCTTCTGGTGGCTGAGAAATGGAGAAGCTTAAATTTTGCCTTCTCTCTTCTAAGTCTGTTGTACAAATCACCTTTGTGCGACCATCCATAGACTACGGCACAATTCTTGGGGCTCTGCTCTGCGGTGGGACAAACTGTAGTAGTATCCTCCTTCAGGCTGGTGGTAAACAATGAGCTAGCTAAGGTCCCAGGTAACGATCTGAAGCTAGGTTTTCAAGCGCCACTATGTGAATTTCTAGAGATGCCTGCTAGTCACCTAAGGATTTATTTGAAATCATTTGCTGGAACCTGCACGTTGTTAATTACATGTGAAAAGCTAAGGAACCACAGGGCAAATCCAGAAAGATTGATTAAAATAGTCAGGAGTCTTTCTTACCTCAGTGATGCACTGCACTAGGCTGGGAGAAATGCTGAATTATTTCTGTCTGGAGAGAATGGCTGAAACTTTTCTCATTTCCCCTATTTGCCTTGGCATCCTGCTCATGGTTCACTTCAACAGACTGAAGATTTACACTGGGATGCCTGCCTTGGGGAGCCTCACTGTTTAGAGTTCAAGGCTGTAGATTATGCTCCTTGTTCAAGTTTCATAACTGCTGCTGCAATGTGTTTGTGCTCGCCAGGTACTTTGAAATGTCTTCCCTGGGCTTTGGGCTGGAGCAGTGCTCAAAAACCTGTTGCTGGTAGGGACATGTTTGGGTCAGGGACAAGTGACAAGTTTGGCAGAAGGGAGCGCTTTCATCAGTGCAAAGGCAGGCTAAAATACTTGCAGGTGGGTGACTGGGACACAGTGGATACCTGAGCAAACAGCTTGGAGGGTGCAGGACCATGGGGCTGCACATTCTGTCAGAGCCTCCTGTCTTTGCTATGCAGTGCTCCTTTATTTTTCTCTCTGCCATATTGGGTGTCTCTGTTTGGTTCCTCTCTGTCACCTGTAGCTTGCCTAGATGCCTTCCTGAGACTCCAAGGCCCTCACTGCGTCTCCAAGCCTTCTTTTCTTACCCTGCCTGCTCCTAATTCCTCTGCTCTCTGTAATAGTCTTCTGAGTTCTTTCTTATACTCCACAGCACTCTTGTAGCACTTTAACTCCCTTTTGATTTTTTTTTTTTGCTGCGCTTCAGACCTCTCATCTTTTTCTTCATTGTTTAGGATGCCTTTGTTCAGCCCCTAGCCCCCTGAAGACAGCTGTACTTTGTTGACATCCTCTTCAGAGTTCCTCATTGTTATCTCTGAGGCTTCTTTAGTCTCTCAGACCCCTTTGGGAATCCTCCTCTCCCTTTGTCGAGCTCTTGTGAGACATCCCCTGTGCCTCAGAGCCCTGTTCTAGCGCGCAGGGCACTCGCCAAAAACCAATTTGGGCCTTATCTATAAACCACTGTCTCTCCAGGGGTATAAATCCTGCAGCACAGACTTAGCCACAGCCACAGTCGCTTTGTGGTGCAGCTGTTCCAGCGTGGCCTTCTCTGTGGGCCACAATGCCTTCAGAGATAGCCCTGCTCCAGTGTAGCCCTCCTCACAGCCACAGTCCCTGCTCCAACCTAGCTTTACTTATGGCTGCAGTCCCTCCAGGGCTGTACCTGCTCTGTCACGGGCTTATCCATGGCCCCATGCTTTGAGGTGCTCCAGCATGACCTCATGCACAGCTGCACTCAAACTACTGCTTGTTGCTGGGCTTTCCATAAGAGGAGATGCCTGGTAGGGCCATGCCTTCGGGTCAGAGACAAGTGACACTTAGGACTCTCGGGGTGTCTTTGGCTTGCGCTGGGGACTGAGGAGGAGGAAATACCGTTTAAGGCAAGGAAGAGATCAAGCTCTGCAGTGTCTCATTAGCTTGTGAAACTACAGTCTGTTCCTTTCCTGTTCTGCGCACCCCAGGCTTTAAACCAAATGGGATGAACAACTTGTGCTGTGCTGCTTCTAAGGCTGAGTCCATAACCATGATGAGGCTGGGAGCGGTGGGTGATTAAGGTGCTAAGGAAGGGTGAAGAGCTGCTCAGCGTCTGAACCAGCAGCCCTCAAAACCACTAAACTTTCTTCTGTGTTGCTGCCTGTGTTTCAAAGGTCTTTGCATTGATTAGTTGGAGCACTGATGTGCTCCTCTGGGCTCTTAAGTTTAATTCATGTGTTAGAGCAAGAGGTTAGAATAATGAAGACATTTTAACAGCTCCAACAAACACATCAGCCTTGTGAACACTAAGTCTCATCTACATCACCTGTGATGGTGACAGGTCAAGACAACTTCAGTTACAGCACTACAGTATGTTGATTTGTTCTCTGTATGCAAGGCTAAAAAGGATGTTGCTTTCTTCTTTCCTTGTGGGAAGCAAATTGCTGACACAGTTACTGGATGGGGTGGGAAGGGATGAGTCTCCAGCCAGCAGCTGGCACGAAGCATGCACCGAGGAGGGGAGTGGGAGGTAAGGTTGGTTGTGACTACATTGTGGGCTATTTGACAACTGAGCTGCTGCTTGAAAACTGGCCCATGGCAGCTGGCAAAGCACTTGTGGGGTTGGTTGGAGAGGCTGGCATACTCTGCTCTGAGGAGGAAGGTGCTGGGAGGCTTCATGTTATCATCTTCAAATTAATAGCATCCCCTTTGCATTGTTGACTACTTTGCCTGATGATTTTCTTCATGCCAGCCCCAGTGTTTCTGCACTGATGCCAGGTACTCAGCTCTCGCTCCTGAGCATCTCTTGAATGCTGGGAGGAGGTTTGCAACAATATGACACTTGCAACCCGCCTTAATATCTCCTTTAGGTTCCCTTCCTCCTGGATGTATGGTTTCAGTAGCTGAGCTGGGAGCCTGGCCAGGTTGATGGGATGCCCAGAGGTTCTTTGATCCCAAATGTCCCACTACTTGTGGGATCCTGCAGGGCGAGCCCTGTCCCTCAGGGACCTTAAATAGGTGTTAAAGACCCTGGCTGACTTCTTTCTGCCCTTGCACAGGACTGACCTTGATTTAAAGCCATTTCCCAAATGAGTGGTGGTTCTTGCATTCAAAGTTGTACCCAACTTTTAGAGCCTGCATCAAGGCCATTTTGTGGTTGTAACTCCCTTTAGCTTCAAACTTATAACCTGAGAACTTTCTTTCAAATGTGTACATGGTAATTTATATGATTGGATTCCATTTGGAGTAAAAAGGCAGATTTGTAGAAATCATACATTCCTGCACTGAAAGGGAAAGTGGAAAATCACTCAATGCCTAAGGGCTGTTATGTTATCTTTATCTTCAAATTAATAGCATCCCCTTTGCATTGTTGACTACTTTGCCTGATGATTTTCTTCATGCCAGCCCCAGTGTTTCTGCACTGATGCCAGGTACTCAGCTCTCGCTCCTGAGCATCTCTTGAATGCTGGGAGGAGGTTTGCAACAATATGACACTTGCAACCCGCCTTAATATCTCCTTTAGGTTCCCTTCCTCCTGGATGTATGGTTTCAGTAGCTGAGCTGGGAGCCTGGCCAGGTTGATGGGATGCCCAGAGGTTCTTTGATCCCAAATGTCCCACTACTTGTGGGATCCTGCAGGGCGAGCCCTGTCCCTCAGGGACCTTAAATAGGTGT